TGTGCTCTTTATGATGATACTTTCCAGCCTTATGGTCAGGTCCTCGTTATGAACGCTGATGGCTCGAATAAGCGTGTGCTTACTGATTCAATCTGGGAGGACTCGATGCCTCTTTACGTGCCGAACAGTGCCCTCAAGGCCAGCGCCAAGGGTCACAAATAAAACGCGCAGCACTGCGTCGCATGCAGCTGGCTTGATTCTTTTTTAAAAAAAATTTGGTTCTGAACCTCGGGAAGGAAAACCATGGTTATATTTGTACTTCAAGTGATATATTGATGCATGGAAAAATATTATGATTCTGTTAACGTGAATGCGTCCATGGAATGGCTGCCAGACTCCTAATTATAGCTCTTGTAGGGCTCGACATTCCTGCTTAGAGAGACGGTGTCACTCGGCCTTTTCCTTGGATCTTGCTTTTCACATAGAGGTAGTTGTAATGCTCAGGACGCTCTCTTTCCATAGACAACCGTAATAAGTGATAGCCACAGCTGCCAAACGAAAGGGACGGTGATTACTCGGCGTTTCCGAGCGTGACTTACGACCACATAATTTATCACCTTTCGAAAAAAAATCCAGCCCTTAACGGACTAGATGAAGCCAGTGATACATAATGCGTGGTTTCTTCCTTGAATGTTATGATGAACCTTCCACCGGCTTCTTCGCGATGAGCCTACTCTTAGCACATTTTAAAACCAGGCACCATCAATAATGTGCTTGAGGGAGTATTTCAGACTCCTATTGGCCTCTTTCGGATTCATGGTAACCGGTGCTCGTTTTATATCGTTCTTGGCGTTTGTGTGGGAGTTCTATTTAACGTCTTTCAGGGTCTCGCCGCATAGTCCAATTGAAATAGAAAGAGTAACAGAGTAAGAAGTTGTGGATGAGGCAGATTCGGCGGTCTGCCTCTACGTGAGGATGGCTATTAAAGGCCTAAATAGGAAGGAGCCTTGCAGGGAAGTAAATATCAACAGGCTAATAACACATCACCATACCCTGTGAATACAATAATAGCTAGTACTTGGTATTTGTACAAGCTAGAAAATCGCAATAATACTCATAGAATAGAAGAAGACACGCAAGATCGTCATGGTCATCAACCAATCCCCGTGAAGATGGCGCCATCCGGACTAATTCGTTCTCATGTCTTACAAAGACAAGAAATAATATGGGGTAGGTGCCCCTCCGCTGCCCCTTTCTTCCTTTCCTTTCTCATTTCACTCAATTCTTGAGCTTGTGCGTTACAAACCACTCTCCCGTTTCCCTTCCTAAACCTTCACGGCGAATGACTTGAGGTACAGATAGTCGGCCATGTTGGCATCAACTGTCTGGCGGATGAGAGCAGCCCGCTTCTCACCGTACTTCTTCTGCCACTCGGCGTCAAACTGCTCCTCAGTCTTGACAGCACGTTTCTATGAAAAGTGTTAGCCCAAGTCCCCGATGCCTGCGGGTCCCCGTTCCGCCAGAACAAATGATGATAGAAGCTTACATGAGCTCTCTGCACCAGAGCCTTCGACTCAATAGCATCATTATGGAACCCACGCCACTTCTCAAACGCATTCCGAGCAACAGCATGTTCTGCTTCCGTATCCCACGACAGCATCTCCGGTCGGTACGACAAACCAGTACTGTTACAGAAAGCCTCGATGGTCTTCGCCGGTTCGTCGAGCATATCATCTGCATCGATGACACACACCTCGACGCCAGTCGTCGCCTCGGCATCGGCCTCGGCATTCAGCTCCGGGCGCGCTGCAACCCGGGGCCCGACCAATCCAGTCTCGCGCAGATAATCGAAGTGCCGGCGCAGCTCGTCGTACCCGGCCTCCAGTGGGTCGTAGTTGTGGAACCCGGTCACCTCGTCCAGAGGTGGGATCGTGCACCGCAGGTACGACGGCACACTGTAGTGCGGGTCGCGGATTAAGAATGCCCAGTGGAACTGCTCTTGCAGCTCGCGAGGCATCACGGTTGGGTTACCCGGCTCTGTGGGTGTGTCGTACGGGTAAGGTTCCCTGGACGTTCCATTGGTGTGACCGTTGGTCGCGCCGTTGGTGTGGCCATTCATCTCGTGACCGTTCACACCGTTCGCCGTGCCGTTGGTACCGTCCGAGGTTCCGTTGACCCCGTTCGTGCGACCATTTGGCGTGGCGATGTGGCCATTGGTGTGAGCAGTGCCGTTGGCACCGTTCACACCGTTGGCCTTGTGCAAGTCGCCGTTGGTGCCGACTCCTCGCTTAACGCGCAGGAGAGACGGGGCAATGCTGGCGGGCTGGCCATTTGGTGGAAGCAGGTAGTGGTCGATATCTTTGATGAAGACTCTCTTTCCCTATGACAAGGTAAGCATCCCCCTCAAAAAGTGTAAATATTCCATCCCGCCGCGCGGATCTCCATGGTCATTCCATATTTCGGAGTCAGTCTGTGATCTACAGTTCGTAGAGAGGAAGGGGGAACAGATCGCCTCGGGCTACATCTGCGGTGTAAAGTAACAAAAAAATGTGAACAGGTAAGGAGTCTTCATGTTCGATCCACAGGGGAGAACATGAAGAGTATTACGAAGGGGATGTGTAAGAACGCGAGAGATTTCGCAAAAAGAAGGGTCGGACCTGAGTAGTTTCTCGTTCCAGCCTTTCCATCACGGTACTATATGTCGAATTGGCGAATCCACTATCCAGGCGTGCTTGTGCATGTTCATCGCCTGCGAATCGGCTGGAGAGGCGCTCCGGGCCGTAGTAGAATGCATCGCCGAATGGCTCATGGACACATTGGATAGTATCACGCTGAGTCATGAAGACCTGTAGTCCGTTAGTTATATGCTGTAAGAATGGGATTGTTTGTTAAAATCTCAGGTTCTCTTACTCGCTCAAAGGCTGTCGAACATGCTCGCGGATGCGTAGCCACAAAGATCGGCTTGTCTGACATTATTGTACGCCGTATAATATTTAATATTGATCGAAATAACTGCAATCTGCAGGCTCTGTCTTAGAGAAAATCGCCAACGGTAATTGTAAATAAACTTGCGGTGAGTTCAAGCCTCTGATCAATTAACGCAAGGATAATTCAAATCCTGCCGTTGAACCTGTGGCGAGACAGAAATTTTCTGGTTTGGGGCGGGTCGAATGCTTCACAAGCGTCCTATGCCAGCGAATAGAGCTTCTCAGTGGTCCAGTACTATGGCGTGAGAATAATGAAAAGGGAGGGGGGGGGGGGGCTAAAACTCTTTATATGAAATGACATAGGTACCAGCGTTTAATAACCGTTTCTCTTTTTGATTTTGATTTTGATTTTGATTTTCGGGAGGCGGAGAGTTACCAGAGTTGGCTATTACACTGACCCATGGAAAAGAAGAAAAAGAAAAAGAATGGTCAAAAATAATATCATATTTTAACAGGGAGATCTACGAATTAGCCCCAGGATGTTACACATGGTTATAGTATAGCATGATCCTTCCGCATGGTACATAGTATATAGTAAGTATTGTTATAGGACTATTCCGCATAGAATTAGTACATGTAGTACTGCTTACATGTATACAATGTACATATGAAATCCAACAGCCCTCGAATCTGCGTCCAGCATTAGTTTCAGCATGTCTCGTAGGTAAGGGAGCAGCAACTCAGAGAAGCAACATTGAAATTGTGAACGCCATAAAGCCTCTCGCCCCTCTCTGCCCCGCAGGAACCTTTCCGCTTCTATTTTTTTCTGTCCCCTCTCCAGCCTACGACATACGAAACAAAGTAAAAGAAAAATCTAGAGGCCACCTGCCGTGATGAAACGGCCAATGGGAAACCAACCTGTGGGCAGACGTGTGGATCGATCTTCAACTCTGGATGCGCTGACTTGGAATAAATACCCACCATCCACGGTCGAGTCGTCTCCTAGCTCCTCAGCTGGGACGGACACTCCTCTTCCATGCAGCCCGGTGAAAGTTGGTTTCCTAAACGGTGATGATTCCAACCGAAAGCGCAGCTGGATCGTATATAAAAATCCCTCGGTCCCAATTTGAGTAGATACTTGCAGGGGGTCTGATCCTGGACAAGGTTCGAGATCGATTTCTTCGAATTCTGATTGCTCTGCGGATATTCCACCTGACGTCATGGACTAACTGTGAGATATTTTTTGTCGGCTATCGTGGAACACGATATAAAACATAAGCGACGCACGGCAAAAGGTAATGCGAGCTATGTAAATAAGTGCCTGGGCAGGCGTCGGCGCCACATCGTAAAATCCAACATAAATAGGTTGTTCACATCTTGATTTTTGCGGGTAAGTTTCAATGCCCCACTGCAAGGCACGCAAGCTCAAAGTGGCACCAACACCGAATCATCCTTCTAAACGTGGGGGGTCTAATCATTCAAGGGTTCTGGTTTGCTGGTTTGCGCGATTTAATCCGAGGTTGCTGACCTCATCTCGGAACGGATAGGGCTTAGGTCAGCAATATAATTGACACGTGGTCATCACGTGAAACGCACTTGAAACGCACGGGGTCCGAATTTTGATACATCACGTGCTGGGCACAATCTGCCGATGTTGTAGGCGGTACTGTCTATTACCTATATAACCTCCTGAGGCCTAGACTATGCAACTATATTGGTACCTGTTGCCTTATGTAATAAAGTGGTAATTGACTAATTAACTAACTATAATGTATGTGTGTGTAACAATCGAAGTGTCATTGAGTGTATCTCACTAGAGAGTGACATGTGGTTTATCCGGAGTAACAGTTTCTCCGTTATCTTCGGGTGATCCTAGCGCTGTCAGGCAAAGTCAGACAACGTCAGGCAGCTTCTGGAAGGCGGTGGAACCCAGTAGTGACGACATGGACCTAATGGCAGCTTCGGGCACCCCACGCGTCTGAAGTATATGAACTTGCATCATCGTGCTTCAAGTTGTACATTCATCAAGTTTACTAGCTCAATTACTTTCTACTCTTACACCACCACTGCGATCCGATCTCTCGAAACACCAGCGTATACAACTATTGATATCCCCCCACTTACCCGTTCAAGATGAACGGCGTCCAGTTCACAGATCGGGCCAACAAGGCCTTGCTGGACTCCAGCGGCCTCTGCGAGCAATATGCGCACTCCCAGATCATGCCTCTTCACTTGGCAGTCGCGCTGCTCAATCCCTCCCCAGACGAGTCTGAAGATCAACAGACTCCTTCTGGTGCCCACTCCTCCCACGATTCCTCAACCGCCCCTCTCTTCCGCCAGGTTGTCGACCGAGCTCACGGTGACTCTCAGCTCCTCGACCGATCGCTCATGAAACTACTAGTCCGCCTACCGAGTCAAGATCCCCCTCCAGAAAACCCTAGCGTTTCTCCCCAACTCTCCAAAGTCATTCGATCAGCCACCGATTTGTCGAAAACCCAAAAGGATAGCTTCGTTGCAGTTGATCATCTCATCCAGTCTGTCTGCCAAGATTCACAGGTTCAGCGTGCTCTGGGCGATGCCAATATCCCCAACCTCAAGTTGATCGACACTGCTATCCAGCAAATCCGTGGTACAAAGCGGGTCGACTCCAAAACCGCCGATGCGGAAGGAGAGAATGAGAACCTGAAGAAGTTCACCATTGATATGACTTCCTTGGCTCGGGAGGGTAAGATCGATCCGGTCATTGGTCGAGAGGAGGAAATCCGTCGCGTCATTCGCATTCTCAGTCGACGTACAAAGAACAACCCCGTGCTTATCGGTGAGCCCGGTGTGGGTAAGACCACCATTGTCGAAGGTCTCGCTCGCCGTATTGTCAATGCCGATATTCCTGCCAATCTGGCTCAGTGCCGTCTTCTCTCTCTTGATGTTGGTTCTCTCGTTGCGGGCAGCAAATACCGAGGTGAATTCGAAGAACGTATGAAGGGTGTTCTCAAGGAGATTGAAGACTCCAAGGATACTATCGTTCTCTTCGTGGATGAGATTCACCTGCTTATGGGCGCTGGATCTAGCGGCGAAGGCGGTATGGACGCTGCTAACCTTCTGAAGCCCATGCTGGCTCGTGGCCAGCTGCATTGTATTGGTGCCACGACCCTCTCTGAATACCGCAAGTATATTGAGAAGGATCAGGCCTTCGAGCGACGATTCCAGCAGGTCCTTGTCAAGGAACCTACAGTCCCAGAGACCATCTCTATTCTTCGTGGTCTGAAGGAGAAATACGAAGCTCACCACGGTGTTAATATTCTCGACGGAGCTATCGTCACTGCCGCCACTCTCGCGTCCCGCTACCTGACAGCTCGTCGACTCCCCGATTCTGCGGTCGATTTGATTGATGAGGCTGCAGCTGCAGTCCGAGTCACTCGCGAGTCCGAGCCAGAAGCTCTCGACACACTGGAAAGAAAGGCCCGCCAGCTTCAGATCGAAATCCACGCCCTATCGCGTGAGCAGGACGACGCATCCAAGGCTCGTCTTGAGGCTGCCAAACAGGAAGCTGCCAATGTTGGCGAGGAGCTCCGGCCTATGCGCGAGAAGTACGAAAGTGAAAAGCAACGCAGCCGCGAAGTACAGGATGCCAAGATCAAGCTTGACTCTCTCAAGGTCAAGCGTGACGAAGCTGAACGTTCAGGCGACACTCAGACAGCTGCTGATCTCGAATACTATGCCATCCCAGAGACCAAAACCCTCATCGAGCGTCTCGAGGCTGACCGGGCCAGGGCCGATGCTGAACGTCGCGCTCAATCCGGCGATGCTGGTGAAGCACTCCTTGCCGATGCAGTTGGTCCCGACCAGATCAATGAAATCGTTGGGCGGTGGACCGGTATCCCTGTCACGAGACTCAAAACCACCGAAAAGGACAAGCTGCTCAACATGGAGAAGTACCTTGGCAAAGTTGTTGTCGGTCAGAAGGAAGCCGTCGTCTCGGTCTCCAACGCCATTCGCTTGCAGCGCTCAGGTCTCAGTAACCCTAACTCGCCCCCCAGCTTCTTGTTCTGTGGTCCCTCCGGTACCGGTAAGACACTGCTCACAAAAGCGCTTGCCGAATTCCTATTCGATGATCCAAAGGCAATGATCCGGTTCGACATGTCCGAATATCAAGAGCGCCACTCGCTCAGCCGTATGATCGGTGCACCCCCCGGATACGTTGGCCATGACGCCGGTGGCCAACTTACTGAAAGCCTTCGCCGTCGCCCATTCTCCATCTTGCTCTTTGACGAGGTTGAGAAGGCCGCAAAGGAAGTTCTCACTGTACTCTTGCAGCTCATGGATGATGGCCGTATCACCGACGGCCAGGGCCGTATTGTCGACGCAAGGAACTGTATTGTTGTCATGACCTCTAATCTGGGTGCTCAATATCTCGCCCGCCCCACTACCAAGGACGGTCGCATCGACCCCCAGACCCGCGAGTTGGTCATGGAAGCACTGCGCAACTACTTCCTGCCCGAATTCCTCAACCGTATCTCCAGCACCGTCATCTTCAACCGTCTCACCAGGCGCGAGATCCGCAAGATCGTGGACCTCCGTCTCTCCGAGGTCCAGAAGCGGCTCGATAGCAACGAGCGCAATGTCACTATCCAGTGCACAGATGAAGTCAAGGACTACCTCGGCGCAGCAGGCTACTCCCCAGCCTACGGTGCTCGTCCACTGGGTCGACTCATCGAGCGCGAGGTCCTCAACCGCCTCGCTGTGCTCATTTTGCGCGGAAGCATCAAGGATGGCGAGATTGCCCAAGTCGTCATGCGCGAAGGTCGCATTGACGTCCTGCCTAACCACGAGATTGGTGAGAGCAGTGATGATAGCGATGATGATATGATGGACGAGGTTGATTTCGACGATGAGATGAATGATGATCCCGTCTCCCCTGATCTGTACGATGATTAAACAGATCCGGTTTTCTTAAGATTTCCTATTCTTCCAAAATGCGATACATAAAACGGTTTGAACATACTCAGCAATGATGAAATGATACACGGCTCTTTTTTAATGGTTTTGTTTTTTTGGATTCGCTTTATTACGTTCGCACGGCGTTAGCACTCTTCGCATTCTCTTTTCATGTACTTATATAGTCTTCGCTGGGTGGATCGCCTTTGATTCGAAGGCTTATCAGTCTCAGCAACGGTCATGTTAATATAAGTTTATTTATTCCGAAATCCACACATAGAATACCTCCAGGCGTATTGTAGATCAAAATAATCATGAAGTCCATGCCACCATCGTCGTTGGGTGAATTCTGAATGAGTAAGTTAAACTAATTCTAAACCACATGTACATAGCGAAAGGGAAAAAAAAGCTTGCTAGATACTAGCACTTGGATAAACAGACCTCGAGAGACTCTGTGTTAGATACTTCCTATAACACAACTATATATGATATGCATGAACATAAATCAACTATCTACCCCATTGAACATTTGTTATATATACATAGAGAAGTCTCTTGCACAAAGGATGTTTTTTTTTTATCGCCCTAAAGAAAGACACCTAAAAATACATGAAGGGGTTGACTATTCTTGTATATATATATTGTGGGCTTCAATATTTGCAACTTTTGCTCTACCGCTGAGATAGGGGTGCAATTTATGAGTATTGAATTGAGAATTATTCTAGAATATATGAATAGATGATGATAATATACAAATTATACCCTGTAGGGCCTCCAGGTCTCGCTTTTCGGGTTATATAATTTCTTTCCTCTCATATTCTATCACGATAAAGGTACAACCCCCGGCCATACCTTAAGATAATCCACCAATGGCACGACTCCGCACATTTGAGAGTCAGACTCGGGCTGAGTTGAGTGGCTCTAAAGTCCGCCTATCGAACGATTTAATTGTTGGTGTGATATACAAGTCTCCCGCGGCGGGTATTCTTAGCGGGTGATAAAACGTCTTCTTGCCTATGCCCAAACGATCTCTGGATACCTATGTTGTATATCTAAGAAGACATAGGCATACCATGTCCCCGCTACAGCAGGCTACAAAGCAAGGAAACATGGAGCTTGTGGATTTGTTCCTCGAAGCAGGAGTAAATGTGAATAAAGAACCAGTATCACACAGCGTGCCGACAGCATTGCAATTTGCCGCAATTCAGGGCTATATTGGAATTGCCCGCAGACTCTTTGGTGCCGGTGCTAACGTCCAACAACCCCCCTCCAGGGCTGAGCAATATGGAAGAACGGCGCTCGAGGCCCCTGCTGACCATGGCCGACTGGATATGGTACAGCTCTAAAATGAAGGGGTGATGACTGGCGAGAATGACCGGATTGAGTATATCAGGGCCATCATGCCGTGCCTAATTTTCTCAAGTCATTCTCTAATTGGACTGTTGACTCTGTGTGTTACGAAGAGCAAAATGTTTTATTGGGAGGAGAGTGGTATGTTGGATGAGATGAAGAAGAAACTGCGGAGCTAGACAAAGTGTCAAGATGAGAAAACCGAAAAAGGAAGGGATATGTTCATAGAGATTTTTGTTGTTAAGGAATAGACTTGGCTCGAAGAGTACGTTATATACAGTTTGTATGGAGTACCGAATTACGAAGTTGTGAAGGCCTCAGTTCATAGACTATATTGATCTTTTTGTTAGCACCAAAAGTCGAGAAAGACAAAAATAAGGAAGATTATAGATACTAAGGGAGATTGCGCGTAGTCAAATATGTAATCGCCTAGCTATCCTCATTGATATAAAAAGCAATCTTTATTAACTCGTGAGAAGCGACATGATCTGTTACCAGCCGATGATGCTGCATGAGACCCAAAAAATTCGAGTCATCTTAACTCTTATCATCCGCCGCAACCCGAGAATTGGAAAAAATACAACCCTATCTAGCTGAATGACATGCCCACTACCGTGGTAAGTGGTATATTACAACTCAAGGACCATGCAGTTTCTTTGCAGCAGAGGAAAGAGGGTCCGCAGGGCTGCGCGTCTGTGCGGTCCAGATCCAGATCCAGATCCATCTATGCCATCCAAACTCCAAACTTTAAATAAATCCTGTCTTGAAACTTCAATAGTATGATGTAGGTGCCGAGTACCCCGGGAGTGTTGCGTAAAAGTGAGCTTATGTTTGGGATTGGCCAGGGGTGGGAATTAAGATTCTATAGTTTGAGCTATGCAAGTTGCTTGTGATAGATGTTGACCAGCATCGAAGGAATGTAGATGTCTTCCACAATATGAAAGAACCTTTTTTTTGACGTCTTTCCTTAACACAGAAGATTGCTTAGCCATTCTTCAGGGTTAAACATTTATGCCCATGTATTCTTAGCTTGTAACTAGCCTGAAGTGATGCAACCTGCAACCTCTTACAGGGGTATATCCCTGTACCTGCACGGAACTGCCGAACAGGGTTCTCGAATATTTTATACTAGCAGCAGCGAATCAAACACCGTTCCCAGCGATTACCCATGCATCTCCCTCATGGCGACCGGCGTACCTACGAGATGTAGCTAGAGTGAAGGCAAATAGTCTTACAATTTGCCCCATATGTGGTGTAGCGTTACATCGAAAATTCTTTGCCTGTCCTGCATATGTATGACATATAACAAACTATAAATATATGTACACTATTGTACGGAGTACCCGATACCTGAACACTGAATGATCGGTCAAAACTCCTGTTCGGGTGAGTATTCCATAGCCACCTAGACTAGCCTAAGCAAATGCCTAAGCGAGAGGATTGGGGGCCAAAATATCCGGAGTGCGCGAGCACCGTCGCAACTGAAGAGCGAGGTCTTTCGGAGTTGACGGTGGGGTAAACGGGGTCATTCCGGCCGAAAACAGAGAAGGGACAGAAGATAATTAAAAAAACTAGCAAAAAGAAAACGAAAACGATATTACCCCCTCCTTATCGAAAAATAGAACTTGTCGGTGTTATGTACATGTGTTCGGTCTAGGGGATCCACTTAGGAAGTATGGAGTACTGAATATGTTGTATTATCCTTACTCTGCACATAGTCATGTAATTAATACCGAGCCCGTTACGCTAATTTTTTAGGTGAATCCTTCAGCTCATATCGGAATGAAACACCGAAGATTATCCGTGCAAGTTACTAGAATAGGGACACAGAGTAGGCGATCGTCTTTTCACTCAAAAATGAGACCAAATACACGTGGTTGGGCTTCCAAGCGAGATCTAGAAGAATAAGACGATGTAGTTTATAACGAGGTATAATATATGGAAGTTGGAGACCGTGCTGGAACGCTGGGTCGCTGAAACTCAGTTGAAACTCAGATTGAACTTACGTGGCTGGATGCCAAGGTCTTCTCAATGCAACAACTTGAAATTTTATATTAAAACATCCTTCTAATAAGACCTCCCTACATAGGTATCCATTACAATTTCTAGGCAATATATATTAAAATACACCGCGTAAACGAATGTGAGAATTCTGCGAGATATGACCGACAACAATTGATAATCACTTCCATTTCCCCTTATCAACCTCACATATCTCTCTCCACGCAGATCCCGCGATAATCCGAGGAATGTTTGAGTACCGACCCCAAGTCATCCAGAGATAGCTTGAGCTTGTCCATGGTACCAGCACGAAATGCCAGCAAGTATCCATGGATACAGAGCTGGCCTATTGACGGCTTGGACCAGCTTTTCCCAAGGTTGATCCGCCGATCGACTGGTTGTGGAGGGGCAACCTTGTGGGTGAACCACTGTTCAGTTGATACGAAGGTTTGTCCTATTTTGGGGTAGTCACCGCTATATGATACACAAATTGTAGCCGTTGGTGCCCAATATTATTATGCTGTTATGTTGTATAGTCTAAACAGAGTACGGAGTAGATGATTCTAATATGATGTGTCGAGTATGGAGATATATGTAAAACAACTCTAACTTCGACAGGATTACGCATAATAATTACCGGCATGAACGATCCCTGTACATTCACAATGTCCCACATAAGCAGGCCAGTAACGCCACAGAATATCTACATAGCCCAGCCACTAAGCCCTGGCTAACTAGTTATCTGAACCGAGGATAGAGTGATTAATATCGACGTGATTTTCTGGAATGCCTCCATTGCGCCCGAGCCATGTTTTCCGGTTCGCCCAACCTCTCCATGGAGAGGTCAAAGAACTTAACTCAAATTCGGCTGTTCAATGCCCTAGGCCAATCCCTTCCCAGCTTAGAGCGTGGCCATCCAATGCCGATAGGATCGGCACATCTTGATGCAAGGTGCCGGGAGATCAGCGTTTTGCGATGGCATATTTTCCAAGGTTTGATCTGTCTTTGAGCGGTTAATCCACTTGCCGTGGGGTTTGGGTATACATACATACGGTAGTTGGGAGCAGAGTCCAATTTTGGTAGGATGCTCTGTGGAAATGATGGTGGAGATTGTAGTTAGCGGCATACGCAATTCAAGCCATAGTGGTATATGCAATTCATGGATTTGGACTTTTAGTAGGTATGTTCCAAGGATAAACTCTATATCTAAAAAACAGGTCTTTCAAATATGTCATGAAACAAAAAAGAAACAGTAGGGTGTAGAAGTAAACATGTACAGACAAAATAAAATCGCAATAATACAGGACCGGGTATCAAGCCGCCCTCAGGGACTTCATGGATTCGTAAAAAAGAGACAAGAGACTTTTCTCGGTGTATAGGAGTCGATTAGACATCCTCCCGGGCGCGCGTAATACGCGAAGAATTCGCATCATAATCCTCCGGCCGCGAGTCATGCTGCACTGTAACGGTAATATCCTGACGAATGCGCAAGGCGCGGGCTGAACCATCATCACTGCTCGCATCGCGCTCTTCGCCGATACTGACATCGGATGCCGTCGCCTTTGTCGGGGTAATCGTAGTAGTACCCTCGAATTCTTGCATGCCGAAATCTCCCGAGCGCGCATGGCTGGGTGGGCCATAGGGAGGCATATTGGAGCCACCCTTGCTGGTCCAGGGCCCGGACTTGTAGCGATCGGTGCCACGCTTGGAGCCTCCGGTCCAGCTCTTGAGGGCGGGGAAAACGTCGCGGAGCAGGGACCAGACTAGCGGTAGATTGGTGACTAGGATGGCGACAGTTGCTTCCCGGAAGTACCAGTTCATGTAGACGTAGGAAATTAGATAGGGAACGAGACAGTACACCTTGTTCAGGACGGCGGCGACGATGACGAAGATTCCCATGCCGAAGAGGACAGTTAGGATCACCTTTTGCTTAAGCGGGACGCGGACTTGGACTAGCATCGGGATGGCGATGAGGAGCATGAAGATGTCGGCTGAGATTGAGATGCAGCCTTGGATGATTTCGTAATATTGGTAAGAGAAACATTGGTATTCTGGCGTTGGGACGACGGCCCAGTAGTGTGATAATGGGCGACAAAGTAGGAAGAGCGACAATTCGGTTGCGACAAATCCTAGTGCAACATATATTGCGATATAGTTGATCCAGCGTTTCTGCTTCAATCCTTCACTGTTGGTTGTTAGCGAAAAGAACAAGCTCCAAATCGAGATTCGACATACGTGATACGCGCATAGATCACCAGCATGCATGCTTTCAAAGCCCAGACGCAAAGAATAAAGGAATGTTCCGACACAAAGACCCATTTGCTACCGCGCACTCGTTCAGCGATGATTTCATCCGTCAAGTGTAGCTTATCCTCTTCGGTCATGAGATTTGACCCGCCACCGGAAGCGACTTCATTTAATGAGACACATAGTATCGTATACCAAAATACTGCGAAGAGCATAAGATAGTCATCGATCTGGAGATTGCGAACGCCTAAACGTCGAACACGAGCAACCCTGTCAAAGATCTCTTATTAGTGCTTGTACTTCTGGATATCCAATTAATACTTACCATCGCAAGATGGCACCTAGTACGCCTATGGAATATAGAGCCCATGTTTCACGGGCGAATTCCACCGCGAAGTGACCTCCTAAGCCAGACATTGCCCCTGGCCTGCTCGAATTCAGGTTAACAGGATCCAAGGGAAGAAACGAGAGTAAAGTGGCGCACTCACATTTTAATAGATTAGCCGGGGTATAAGGTACTATGTATAGGGTTCCTAGCCTCGATCCTGCATATGCCGATGACCGTACGACAGGGGTGTGATTCGAAGTGTGTTAGAACCTTCGATGTATGGTAGGTATGGTAAAGGATGCAGAGGATAAAAACGCCAATCATTCAAAGATAGAATACAGAGAATCGCCATTGGACAGTGGATACTTCTTGATGGCGAGTGTTTCCTTGGATGAGATTAGTTCGGGAAATTGATTTCAT